CTGGGATAATCGGGATGGGAGTGTCAGAGACGGTGCGATTGGCACAGGACAGAGCAGAGTTTAGGGCTGTTGTACATAGGGTTGCTATGAGTTGCAAGGGACTCTCTTATCTGCTGACAGCATGAAGTAAGGTTTGGGTTCACCCATGCCTTTCCAGGGGTCCTTTACCCCTTTTCCTTTTCACTTTACCTCTTTTGTAAGGCCTACCTTTTATTTACTAACTATGCCTGTTTTATGACCTTAATAAAACCTTTTCACTTAGTTTGCAAAAAAAATAATAAATCTCAATTTTGGATGATTTCCTTAGGTTAGGAAATGCTGATTCAAGAAAGAATGAACATCAAATCCGAAAATCTGGAGGTTGTAAATAGTGCGAAAGGATTATCCAACTTTCTCCCTAAAAGTCACATGTGGATTAGAATTGTCAAGAGAGGCCCCACCTTCAGTCATTAGGGAAACTCTCTAAGACTACACCACCAGGGCTCTAACAAACTACTGAAATACTTTCTGCGAAGAGTTCGAGCCTAGCATCCATGAGTGGTGTTTGGTATCAAAACCCAGGTATTGTGCTCCGTAGGGTTTTCAGTTACTTGTTTTAATCGCCTTTCTTACAAGGAGGCCCTGGGTGTTGTCAGCTGCCAATCAAGTCAGCAGCATTAACTGGTTAATTGCTTTCTTGCCACGCAAATGAGCTAAATGGAGAAAATCAAGAAATTTCTCATCATGAGAGAAGAGTCCTCATTTTGCCCCTAACCTCTCATTTAGCAACTCAGGATTCCGAATGATTATCAAACCCACAGCTTAATTGTGGAAGTAACGATCCACTGGAAACTTCCATCTGGAAATCCCAAAGGCATTTCAAAACGGAGGTGCACAAAGCAGAGCCGTGTCTGTCACTCTGTAATCACCAGAATGCCCGAGACCCCCAAGATGGACCGATCGCTGTGCCAGGACCACGTTGATAACCACAGCAAGCAGGTACCCTACACAGGCCACCCTTTTAAATTGAACCAAGGGTACGACGGGAGAAAAGAATGACGTAGGGTGGGGCGCCAGGGGAGGATACGCTGCAGGAACGAAAGGACGTCGCTCTTACGTGCTGGGAAGTTATTTTGGGGGACCTTCAAGACCTGTTCAGGACAGTGCCTGCAAACCATGCCAAAAGGGTGTCACGCCCGGTCCACACAGATTCGTCGAGCAGAGGTAACGGGTCTCAGCTGCTGCAGAAACCTCGTCCTGCGAGGTGTCAGTCCAGAGACCGGTACCTGCCCAGCATCCCGCGAGCGCACGGCGCAGGGACCATACGAGTAGCCGCCAGGCGCATGCGCGCTAGAGTGTGAACCCAGAATGCGCGTGCGCACACGGACCCGCGGGGGGGCGGGGCGCCGCGCAGAAGGGGCGGGGTCGAGGCGGGGTCTCGCGCATGCGTGTCTTCACAAACAATTTGGCGGGTTTTTACTCGCACTGGGGTTCTCCTGTTTCCTGGGACATTCAATCATAACTCTTAGGAATCCCAGGGAAGCGATTTCGCGAGGTTTTTTTGCCCCTTCTTTTCAGGGCGTGTGGAGACACCTCCTGTCTCCTAAGTGTGTGCCTGTGACTGGCGACTCGGGCCGTCTCCGGTCCCCTGGAGGGGGTGAGGGGCCTGCTGGGTCACCATGCCGGTGTCCGCCGAGCAGCTGATCCAGGAGTTGGAGATCTTTGGCCTGGACTGCGGGGAGGCTGTCATCGAGAAATGTGAGTCCCTCAGCCGGGCCCCCCCAGCCCCCGACCCGGGGTCCACGCTCACGTCCCGAGTCCCCTGGAGCTTAAAGTGAGGGCGCTTTCTGAACGCAGACTCCAACAGAGCTGTAAGATTGGGGGCGCGGGGACCTTGAAGTGCCGGCGGGGTGCTGCTTGGATCTCAGATCGTGGAGCATGATTTGACATCGCTGCAGTTTCAGGAAGGTGGGGTGGGGCTGTGTCAGCATCGCCAGGCTAAGGATTGACCGCAAAGCATGATATGTGGGTTTAAAATGTAACTTCATACTCATCGTCCAGGCTATACCTTAAACTAACGCTGATCCTTGGCTCATGGTGGTATTAGGTGCCTCCGAGTCTACAACTCGCAGTGACTCTACAAACAACAGATCTGAACCCTGTCCTATCCTCTGCCATCATCTTCATCATCAGCTCTGACATGCTTGGGCCCATGGCTGCAGTCACTGGTGTCAATCCACCTGGTTGAGGGTCTTCCTCTCTTTTGCCATCCTTCCACCTTTCCAAGCATGATGACCCTCTACAAGGACTCTCCTAACAACATACCCAAAATATGGGAGATGAAATGCCTTCATCTTTGTCTCTAAGGAGCATTCTGGCTGCCCCTTCTCCAAAACATGCCTGTTTATTCTTTTGGCATCTCATGGGATATTCAGTTCTCTTCTCCAACACCATGGTCCAAAGGCATGGATTCTTCTTCTGTCATCCTTATTCATTGTCCAGCTCTCAGATGCACAGCAAGTGATTAGAAAGACCATGGCCTGAGTCAGGCACACCTTATCCCTCAGCTGACATCGTTGCTCCTCAGTAATTTAGAGAGATTCCCTCACTGCAGACTTTCCCGGTGCAGTATCTCTCCTGATCTCCTGACTGCTGGTCCCAAGTGTCCTGATTGTGGAACTTATTAACAGTCTCAGTCTTTTCTCCATCTAGCATGATGTTACCTGTCAGTCCAGGGATGAGAATGTTTTTCTTGATGTAGAGATGCAGTCTCTATGGAGAGCAGGCTAGTGGTTTGTGCAAATATGAAGTCCCTGAGCTGGGTGCCTGAGTGGTTTTTTTTGCTTTGGAAAGAACTTTCAGAGAGCTTGTCAGGCATCTTTTGGCCTGCTGTGGAGAAACCCAGGCACCAGGAGTTCAGTGCCTAAGCTGGTTCCTGTGCCCAGATGTGCCCTCCAGGCTCTCATTCTTTCTAGCAGACTGGGGACAGTTTAAAAAGGTGACAGAAGAATCTTAGCCGTTGTTCTCTGCTTTAGAATTGGGGTGAATGTGCTTTTGCCTTAAACACTCGTAGACACTCTGAGCTTTTCTTATACAGAAGGTCAGAATACAAATGTAAATTCAGAATTCCTTTCCCAGAAACTTGACTGTGCTCAAATGCATTCTCTTCCAAAAACTCTGTGCGGTCCAGTCACTCTTGGTCTCTTCTGACTCACAGTCACCCTGTAGGACTGAGTAGAACCATCTCAAAGGGTTTCCAAAGCTCTAAATCCTTAAAAGAAACGGTCCCCTCTTCTGCAGAGTAACTGATCAGTTCAAACTGGCAGCCTTTCATTTAGCAGCCAGTGCTTGATCCACTGTGCCACCATGACTCCTCTTCCTTAAATCAGAAACTCGATGAGAAAAATGTGTTAAGGAAGCTTGAAAACAAAACTAGTGAAGGTGGCTGCGTGAACCAAATCTGTAACAGCTCTAGCCCGGAATGCCTCTTGCTTCCTTCTTCCATGGCACTGCCTTGGGACTCTATACTTTGAATTCACAGTTCTTATCCTCAGGATTGGATAGAAGACTAGGGTTGGAGGAACACTCATCAACAACCTGTGATGTGCCTCAACATAAAACAAAAATCCTCACAACTGCACAAATAAGCAAAGTCTTGATGAGTGGAGAAAAGATTGACACTGTCAAGCACTTCATTTTTCTTGGCTTCAACATCTGTGGAAGTAGCAGTCAGGAAATCAAGTGACATGATTGCATTGGACAAGTCTGCTGCTGAGAACCTCTTTAAAAGGTCTGAAGAGTGAGATTAAGATGCATCTGACCAAGCCCTGGTATTTTCACTTGCATCATATACATTTGAAAGTTGGACAGTGAGTCAGGAAGACCAAAGTCGGATTGTGCCTTTGAATTGTGCTGTTGGCAGAGAGTATTGACTGTCCTGTGCACTGCCAAGAGAACAAACAAAGCTGTGTTGGAAGACTTCATCTCGAATATTTGTGCATGTTATCAGAAAGATCCTTGGAAAAGGATATCATGCTGGATAAAGTAAAGTGGCAGCAAGAGAAGATGTTTAATGAGATGGATGGGTAACAGTGGGCTTCAGTACTGCAGAGATTGTGAGGATGATGTGAGAACGGGCAGGGTTCATTCCGTTGTGCACAGGGTCGCTGAGTTGGAGCAGACTCACAGCACCTAACAACAACAACCTCAAGTGAACAAGCCTTGAATGGCACAGTAGTTAAGTACCATCTGCTGACTGACAGTGTGGCTGTTGGAACCCTCCAGCCACTGTGATAGACTGCTTCTTTAAAGAAACGCTCTGGGGGTGTTTTATATTCATCGCGTCACTGTGACCCAGAATCAACTTGATCTCAGTGAGTTAATTAGTCAACAAGGACCCAAGTATTACCTAACAGTCATGTCCTATTTCCCTGGTCTCCTCACTCTTTATTTCTGTTGTTGCATGCTGTCAAGTCTACTCCAGCTCATAGTGACCCTGCATTTAACAGCTCTGAACCCTGCTCTATCTTGAGCCAACCTCATTGTCTCTGACACACCTACCTCCATTACTCCAGTCAGAATCATCGATCTCATCCAGGGTCTTCCCCTCTTCGGTGTCCCTCTACCTTTCCAAGCATGATGTTCCTCTCCAAGGACTGGTCTCTCTTTGCAACATGTCCAAAGTATGTTAGATAGAGCTCAGAATCCTTGCCTCCAAGGAGCAGCCTGGTTTCACCCTCTCCATGATGGACATGTTTGTTCTCCTAGCAGTCCATTGTATGTTCAATACTCTTTCAGCACCACAACTCAAAGGCATTGAGTTCTTTTGTCATCATTGTCCAGCTCTCTGATGTATAGCAAGTAATTGCAAAGAGTATGGCCTGGATCAAGCACACCTTCGTCTCTAGACTAACATCATTACTCTTCAGTACTTTGGAGAAGTTCCTGACAGCACACTTTTCCAGTATAATTCATCTTTTGATTTCCTGGTTGCTGGTACAAAGAGTGTTTGTTGATTGTGGAGCCAAGCAAACTAAACCTGTTAACAATCTCAGTCTCTTCACTGTCTGTCATAATATAATGCTGCCAGTTGGCCCAGTGGGGATGATCTTTGTTTCTTGATGTTGAGCTTCAATCCATATTGAAGGCTGCAGTCCTTGACCTTCTGCAAAAAATGCCTCAGGTTCTCAATTTCAACAAGCAAGATTATGCAGTCTGTATAATGCAGGTTGTTGATGAGTCTTCCACAAATCCTGATGCCACATTCCTCCTCATAGACTCCAGCTTCCTGCATGATCTGTTCCAGATATTGATTGACAAGGTATGGAGATAGGATGTATCGCTGGTGTACAACTTTTCTGATTGTGAAACAGGCAGTGTTTCATTGCTGTGTTCTGATGACTGCGTCCTGGTCCAAGTATAGGTTTCACATGAACACAATCAAGTGTTCTGGGATTCCCATTCTTCTCAGAGTTTTGTGATCCACACAGTCAAGTGCCTTTCCATAGCAGATGAAACACAGATAGATATTCCTTTGGTACTCTCTGCTTTCAGCCAACATCCATCTAATATTAGCTATAGTATCCCTAGGGCCACTTCTAAACCCAGCCTGCACATCTGGCAGCTCTCTGTTGAAGTGCTGTTCCAGTCATTTGGGGATCATTTTCAGCAGGATCTTGCTTACATGTGATATTAATGATATTGTTTGATAATTTCCATACTCTGTCTCTAAGTGGTTGTTTTTCATTGTCTCCTCCTTAAACATCCTCTTCCCCTCTTGTCTCAGTTTTCCTGGTGCTGCTCTAACAGAAGAACCACAACAGAAGTGTGTGTTCTAATAGCTTTAGGAGCTGAAAGTCAGAATCAGGCCCTGACCATGATTTCTTCTGTGAGCCTCTGTCCTAGCTTCTGGTGTCTGCTGGCCGTCCTTGGTGGTACCTGGCTTCTGTCTTTCTGCTCTATGTGTCTCTGTGTCTATTCTGGTATATTTAATAACTCAGAAAGGATTCCATTTAGTGATGACCTTATTAATATTACAAAAGAAATGTCTGTTTCCAAACATGATCACATCCACAAGACAAAGGCCAGCATTTGGACACCTATCTTGAGAAGACAACAGTTCCAGTCTCCAGTCACTCTCACTCTCAGCTTTTTTTTTATTATTATTTGTGTGTGTGTGTGTACCATCAAATCAGATCTGATTGGTACAAGAGGAAATTGTCCCTCCTTCCCCGGCAGAGCATCTGGTGGATTCGAACAGTGCACCTCTGGGATTGCAGTGCAGCTTCTTGCCACTAGGCCACCAGAGCTCCCCTCACTCTCAGCTTTTGAACTTACTTTCTATTTCAGTGAGAAAATAGAAGCAATTAGGAAAGTTAAGTATACTGCCCCCATTAGTTCTGACCTACCTGCTTCTGTTACAGTCACTAAAGTCTACCCGGCAAAAAGTCAAACCTTCCACTTGAGTCCTAAATCCTGTTCCTTTTCAGCTACTTAAGAATATCACAGCAAAGGAGCTCTGGTGGCCTAGTGGAAAGAAGCTGTGATACAATCCCAAAGGCTCACAATTCAAATCCACCAGATGCTCTGCTGAATGAGGAGGAACAGTCTCCTCCTGTGCCAGTCAGATCCAATTTGACAGTACACAACAGTAAAAAAAAAAAAGAAAGAAATCACGCCAGTAGTTCTTCCTTCTTGCCTATTTTGTCCTTTTTTGTGAAGTATTTCGCCCCTTCCACCACCATTAACATAGAACCTCGGTTCTTCTTTGAATCCCTGTTCTCCCTACTTACTACTCCAGGTACTGCCCCTTTTCACTTTCCTGATGACAACAGACCTTGAAAGAGTTACATGTATGCTCTGTCTTCAGGTTTCTCTCTGCTTCCACCCGTTTCAGTAACTCTGCCCACCACCATCACTTGACTGATGCATTCTCATGCCTTCTCTTGAATAATCAGAGCGGTATGCAACACTGTTCACTTCCTCTTCCTGAAGACACCTTTCCCCCTTAGCTTCTCTGTGTTTACCAGTCACTCTCGAGTCCGTTTCAGTGGCTGCAGCCTCCTTGTCAGAGCAGAGCAGTGTGCATTTGCTCACGATTTCCAGGCTTCTCTCTCAGCCCAGACTTCTTGCATGAAGTACAGGTTCGTCTAGTGAACCCTCTACTCACTGCTTCCCAGTTGGAGACCTGTTCCTGTTAGACGTCATTGAGCCAACTACTCCTCGTAGCAGTCCATGAACAGCAGATCTGAACCTTGCCCTGTCTTGTGCCATCCTCACGATCTCTGAAATGCTCAAGCTTGTTATTATAATAACTATGTTAACCCATTTTGTGGAAGCTCTGCTCTCTCTCTCTGACCCTCTACTTTTATTAAAATGGTGACTTTTTCCCAAAAACTGGCACCTCCTGAAAACATGTCCAAAGTGAGCCCAAGTTTTACCATCCTGGTCTCTAAGGAGCAACCTGGTTGCACTTCCTTATTCATTATCCAACTTTCAGATGCATAGGAAGTAACTTAGAAGACCATGACTTAGATCAGGCGCACCATGGTCTTTTAACTAACATCCTTGCTCTTTAGCACTTTGGAGTGGTCCTTGACAACAGATTTTCCTAATGCAATGTGTCTTGATTTCTTGACAGCTGCTACCATGAATGTTGGTTGTGGATCCAAGTTTGGTTGTTTTTTTTTAATTTTTTAATTTTTATTTTATTATTTTCGTGTGAGTGTACCGTCAAATCAGATCTGACTGGTACAGGAGGAGATTGTCCCTCCTTCCCCAGCAGAGCATCTGGTGGATTCGAACCGTGTGCCTCTGGGATTGTAGTTGCAGCTCCTTACCACTAGGCCACCAGAGCGCCCCTAAATTTTGGTTTTCTTAATGTTAACATATCCATATTGAAGGATGTAGTCTTTGATCTTCTGCAGCAAAACACTTCAAATCTTCCTTACTTTCTACAGGCAAAGCTGTCATCTGCATAATCTAGGTTGTTCAGGATTTTTTCCTCCAATCCTAATGCCACATTCTTCATATAGTTCGGGCTCTCAAATTATTTGGATAATGAATAAGGATGAGAGAACTGATACCTTTCCAGTGTGGTTTTGGAGAATAGTACTGAATACCTATGTCTTGCCAGAGAACAGATAAGTCTGTCGTGGAGGAAGTGCGGCCAGGTCCCATCATCTCTTACCTGGATATGCAGTGTTCTCCCACTGGCTTCCTGGATTCTCTACCCCTATAGTCTACTTTACAGAGCAGCCAGAGTGATCTGGTTCACTGACATTAGTCATATCTGTCTATCCAGAGCCTCCAGTGGTTTCTTAAGCTGCTCAGAGTAAGTACCAGGGGGCTCTTAGTTACCTACAGCTGCTCTGACAGGAATAAGCAGGACTCAGATGTATTTCCACAGAGTTTGGGAGACTAGCAGTTTAAATCTGGGGCAGGGTCTGTAGGGAAAGGCTTCTGTTACTCGTGCAGCTTGGCTTCTGTTTTCCCCTTCTCCACTTCCTTACTTAGTCACGTCCACATCTCAAAATAGATTGACTTAAAACACAAGCTGTGCTAATACTGCCTCCTTAACAAAGAAAACCCATTCCCAAATGAGATTATAACAAAGTAGAGACTTAGAACAAGGGGAGCTCTGGTGGCCTAGTGGCAAGAAGCTGTACTGCAATCCCAAAGGTACACGGTTCGAATCCACCAGATGCTCTGCCGGAGACGGAGGGACAATTTCCTCCTGTACCAGTCAGATCTGATTTGACTGTACATGCACAAAAAATAATAAAATAAAATAAAAAGGAGGGGGAAAAAGAGCGAGGGGGTTTTTTTTTAAAAAAAAAAAAGACTTAGAACAGGCCATTTTGGGGCACATAGTTCAGTGGCCACCCAGACCCTGCGCAGTGTGCCACTCTTACCTTTTCGGCCATATCTTCAGTCCCATAGTGGCCTTGGTGATCCTGCTGCCACCTCGGAGTCTTTGTTCTGGCAGCTTCCTCTGCCTGAAAGCCTTCCCCTAACCACTGCTTAGAGCACTGCTTCACCTCCCTCAAGTCTACTCAGCTGTTTCCCCAGTGAGGCCTTTCTGAGCTGGTGTAGCTAAGATTGCCAGCCCTGTGCCTGTCTTGGTTTTCGACACAGCACATTTATTTACATAGGGTTTTCCCAAGGTGCATCTGATACAGGCCATGGTCTTTGCAATCACTTGTTATGCATCAGAGAGTTGGACAATGACTAGGGAGGATAGAAGGAGAATTGATGTC